AGAGAGAGAGAGAGAGAGAGAGAGAGAGAGAGAGAGAGAGAGAGAGAGAGAGAGAGAGAGAGATGAGCGATACAAGTTCGGTTGTCACGTACCTGCGAAGAGCGTCGTGCAGTCCCACGAAGTGAAGAGGCGGCCATAGCTGTGGAGCTCGTACACAGAGTGACGAAGGAGGTGAAAGGGAGGACAGAGGGGGAGACCGAGGAGGAAAGTGAAGCGGAGGAAGGTGAAGGGAGAGACGAACGAAAAAAAAAAAAAGAGAAGAGTAGACAGTCGGGGTGAAGGAGAAAGAGGCGAGGAAAAAGAAAGGAACGAGAAGGGTGGTGAGGAAGGAGAAGATGACAACCATAGCTGACCGGGAGAGTTGACCGAGCGTTGATCGGGCGTTGACCGGAGTTGATCAAGGGTTGAATGCAGCGTTGACCAAGCGTCGACCAAGGCGTTGACCAAGGTGTTGACCACGACTTTGACCAAGCTGGAGCCGGTATAATCCCGCCAAGCTTTCAGCCTATCCCCTCACCCTATGGATGTGCACACACCCTGTGGTACTTGCTGAGTCCAGTCTGTCTATCTCTTCTTTTTTGCATCAAGTCTCTTTTGTCGAAGTGATAGGAACTCTGTGGATGAAGGATAGGGCCTTGTTGACCAAACCCACACGGGCTGAGTAGGGCTAAAGACTGTGTCTAACGACTCGACTGTCCCGGAGGACACAAACCCTCCCAAGGACCGGTACTGACCGGCGGGCTGCTCGGTGTGGCACGGTAGGCCCAAAATCCGAGTTGTGGGCTGCACAACAGGCCGTCTAAGTCTTGAGAGGACCTGCTGATCGCGTCGTCCTGTCTGCGACGTTAAACAATTCCTGAGGAGTTACGGGGGATCTCCTTAAATGCCTCCTGATCAGCAACAGGTCCTGTAGGGACAGCCTTAGAGTAGGTCTAGGCTAGAGACCCTAGTTGACAGGATCCTGTCCGGATTCTGTGGTCCTTATATTGAGTCAGTAGGTTGAGTCGGTCAGGGGGAGTGGTGAGGAGTGGAACCGTTGTTCGGTTGTGCACCAGACACCATGGTTGACACCCTTAGTGGGAAGAGTACTGCCCCCTATACCCAGGCTCAGGAGGAGCAAGCCGCCGCTACAATGAGAGAGAGAAGGGCGAAGGAGCTCCTCAAGCAGGCGAAGTTAAAGGCGATAGTAGAGGAGCAGGCGACGAAGAAGGAGAAGTTGGAAGAAGAGATGATGAGAATACAGAAGGAGAAGATGTTAAAGTTACAGCAGGAGGAGGAAGAGAAGAGGAAGGCTGCCGAAGAAGAAGTGGCAGCAGAGGACGAGGAAGTTGAAGAAGAACCCCTCGAAACGAGACGCAGGGAAGAATGAGGGGAAAGCAGTGGCACGAAGGGAGAGGGTGCATGGATGGAGAAAAAGACTAGCGAGTGGGTAGCTAATTTATCCCTGGGAGAGGATGAGGAGGCGGTGTTGTACGTGGCGCAGGAGGAGAGAGAAGCATTTGCCAAGGAATTGGAAGCGATGGAGGACCCCCTGGAACGCAATATGGCAGAAGATAAAAAAAAATTGGAGTGGAAGTTGCGTATGATGAGGGAGAAAAAGAGGAGGAAGGAGGAAGCCAACCGGATGGCTAGAGCGGTGGAGAGAGCGCGGGCGTGCAGACAAGAGGTACAGGCATAAGATTCTGGGGTACTTGGAGGTACTGAGCGAGGCCTGGCTTGAGGAACATCAGGCCAATAAGGGTCAAGATGTGACCCTTCATGCTATCCGGTCCGGGTTTAGAGAGTTCGCGCGCGAGGTGGTAACCCACGTCGGGACCGAGGTCAAAAGGTTAAAGGAAGGCGCAGAGAAGTTTTGCGGAGGCGTCGTCGAAGGTGCCAAAGTGGTGGCCACAGCAGAGGTCGCGTTGCGTCCCCACAAAGAGCCTGTAAGAGTCAAATTCCCTGACGCTTATAGCGGGAAAAAAAATGATAGTTTCGACAATTGGGAGGCTAACATTAATACATATGTATTTACAACATATTGCCCCAGAGGAGCAAGTCCTCGTAGCCTTCCATACATTGAAGGACGAAGCGACCAACTTTGTCAGGTCCCTTGCGCGCGCCGCTGATTGCGAGCATAACATGATTGCGTATTCTAGGCTTACTCCTCTCTCCACTTTCCTCCAACTCCTGCGTGAGAGGTTCGCTGGCGTCACAAGAGGCCTCAGGGCCTCTGACAAATCTCCAAACCATCCACTGGCGACAGTGAAGGAGTGCGCGAGCACTCAAAGCTGTCATGGACGACTTGGTAGCCGTCCTAGACCAGGGGGTCACTGAGGCCCAGTTGGTCCAATTGTTCTATCGTGCCATGCCAGAGCCTTTGCGAGGGCACTTCTTTGACAAGACCCAACAGGCCAATATCACGTATGACACGTTGAGTAGGGAAGTGGTCCTGTTTGAGGCCAAGTCCATGCCAGTTTTCACTTTCTGGCATAAGGACTTAAATAAGGGCAAAAAGTGTAGTGTAGGCCAGGGGAGGACCTATGCTATTGTCGCGGCTGGAGGGAGGCCGCAGGGTAGAGGAGGAGGCCAGGGCCAAAGGGGCCAGGCCACGGGAGGTCGAGGCCCGGGCGCACAGGGGGTTGGCGGTCAAAGGAGCCGCCAAGGGGGAGGTAGGGGTCAAGGTCCCCTGCCAAATCGCCAAGGTCCTAGTCGGTCCCCGCAGCGACGAGGTGGAGGGTCACCTCAAAGGAGAGGAGGTTGGCACCCAGGTTGGCCACAAGGCCGACCTTGGGAAGATCTGGGCCTGCATCAGAGAGTTTGGCAACAACATATGTACCAGGGGCAGTGCATATATTGCGGTGACCCGGCCCATATTATTAAATATTGTCCTAAATATAGACAGGCTCGATGGGCTGCCCAGGAGTCAAAAGGCAGCCGCCGGTAGGGGTTGCAACTGCCCCTACTACTAGGCCATGTGGGGAAGCGACCGCGCGTATACAGGAAACTATTAACCTTCCTTGCCAAGAATGCTCAATATCAGATTGGTGGTATTTTCTCTAACCCGACCCATATTATTAAATATTGTCCTAAATATAATCTGGCCCGATGGGCTGCCCAAGAGTCAAAAGGCAGCCGCCGGTAGGGGTTGCAACTGCCCCTACTACTAGGCCATGTGCGGAAGCGACCGCGCGCGTACAGGAAACTCCCACACCACATGTGCCTTCGGCAGAGGTTGCAAGCCCGTGCCTAGTTAGCTGTCCAGACACTGCTTGTGTTAGCGCCTCTCTAGGCACTTCCCTCACAGCCTCACAGGCATGGCAAAAAAATTGAAGGAGAGGATGCCGGCTTGGGCCAAAATGAAGAAAGACAGTAAAGGACAACTAGTGTTAGTTGATGTAGAGGTTTTCAGAAGTAGAGTAGAGGCCCTTATAGATTCAGGGGCTACCCGTAGTTACGTTAGTCAAAGAGCGTTGAAAAAGCTAAGGCTAGGATTGAAAGTCCAAAAGTTAGAAGACCCCATAGTTAGTGTCCTCGCAAACAACCGCACTATGCGTGTTGAGACTACGTAGAAGGAGTCCAGGCGTATTTCCGCCTAGAGAAAGACGAGAAGGTGGAGAAAGTTCTCCATTCCCTTACTCTCGAACAAGACGATCTTCCTTTCGACATAGTCCTAGGTATGGAATGTGGAGAGGCAGCAGGGGCCACATTCCACTTGAGAGAGCATGAGTGTAGGCTCCCTAGTCCATCAGGCGAGGTCAAGACTGCCCGCCTGTTTCATGTGTCTGGAGTAGATAACTCCTTGGCACAATGCTATCTCAGTGCTCCCTCGTTTGCACGACTAGTAAGAAAGGAGCAGTTAGAGGATCAGGTCTTCGTAGCTTATCTCGGACCTATCACTGAGCCTAAGGAAGAGGATAGTCTCATGGATCCAACCATTGCCAAGCTGCTGGAAGAGTTTAAAGATTTGACAGAGCCGCCAACAGGAGTAGTGCCGCAGCCGATCCAGCACATAATAGAAATAGAACCTGGTAGTAGGACTCCTAAGGGAGAAGTTTACAGGATGTCCCATGGGGAGTTAGAGGAGCTGCGCAGACAGTTACATGAGCTCCTTGAGAAAGGTTGGATTCGGCCCAGTTCATCTCCTTTTGGAGCACCAGTCTTGTTTGTCCCCAAGAAGGAAGGAGAATTGCGTATGTGTGTAGACTATAGGGGTTAGAATGTGATCGCGATAAAAAACCTTGACCCACTGCCCAGGATAGACGATCTTTTAGATCGGGTGCAAGGGTGCAAATATTTTTTGAAGATTGATTTGAAGTCCGGATATCATCAGATAGAAGTTCATCCTTATGACCAGTATAAGACTGCGTTCCGGACTGTATATGGGCATTATAAGTTCATAGTGATGCCCTTTGGACTGACCAACGCGCCAGCTACATTCCAGCGATGTATGAATGATTTGTTTAGGCCGTGGTTAGATAGATTTGTCGTAGTGTATTTAGACGACATTTTAGTGTTCAGTAGGACCYTCCAAGAGCACCAGGGTCATTTGAGGCAGGTCTTGGAGAAGTTGAGAGAAGCTAACTTCAAGATCAATGCAAAGAAGTGTGAGTGGGCCAAGACACAAGTCTTGTACTTGGGCCACGTGTTAGATGGAGATGGCATTAAGCCAGAGGACAGCGAGATAGCGACAATTAGAGATTGGTCGACGCCCCGCACTTCGACTGAGTTGCGGTCGTTCCTAGGCCTAACTAACTACTATAGGATGTTCGTGAGGAACTTCTCAACTATCGCCGCTCCCCTTCGCAGGTTGCTCAAGAAAGAGGCAATCTTGCAGTGGGATAAAGATTGTACGTTTACGCTAAAGAAGTTGAAGCGCGCGTTAATAGAGTATCCTGTCCTCAAAGTAGCAGATCCGTCCTTGCCATTTGTCGTCACCACCGACGCGAGTCAGTATGGTATAGGCGCCGTGTTACAGCAGGACGACGGCAATGGCTACAGACCCGTAGAGTTCATTTCAGCGAGGATGCCTTCAGAGAAGGTCGCTTCCTCGACGTATGAGAGGGAACCCTATGCTCTCAGGCAAGTCTTAGAGCACTGGAAGCATTACCTGCTTGGGAGGCACTTCAAGGTGTATTCAGACCATGAGACCCTTAGATGGCTGAAGACACAAGCCAAGATGACACCCAAGTTGACTAGGTGGGCCGCAGAGATAGACCAATACGACTTTGAGCTCAAGCCAGTTTAGGGCAAGTACAATGTAGTTGCGGATGCTCTAAGTAGGAGATCAGACTACTTTGGAGCTATAGTTCAGTATCTGGACATAGGGAGTGACCTGCAAGAGAAAGTTAGACAGGCGTATGTGCAGGATCCTATTTATAATGACCTCCTCAAAAGAGTCAAGGAGGCCCCAGAGACCGAACCAGACTAACGCACAACAGAGGTACTGTTGTTTGAGAAGACTAATGTAGTAGACCGCCTGTGCGTTCCCAACAGTGAAGAGACCCGTAGTTTGATCCTAGGGGAATGCCACGACACAGAGGGACATTTTGGTTGGCATAAGACTTTAGCCAATCCGATGCACGTGTATAGTTGGCCAGGAATGAAAGCTGACTGCATAGAGTATGTCCGCAGTTGCAAAGTATTCCTGACCATCCCGGAGACTCGGTGTCCATTGATTTTATGGATACCCAGGTCAAGAGTAGGCACGACAAGAGCCAAGTCATGGTCATAGTTGATAGATTTAGCAAGTTTGCAGTTTTTGTTCCTTTGCCTGCAGAGGCCCGTACTGAGTTAGTGATTCAGAAGTTTTTTGACTTTTGGGTTAGTGAGCATGGAGTCCCATTGTCTATAGTTAGCGATAGAGATAGCCGCTTCACTAGCCTGAACTGGCAGGAACTGATGAGAGTCTATGGATCCAAGTTGTTGACGTCGTCTGCCGCCATCCAGAGACTCACAGTCAGACTGAGCAGATGAACAAGATCCTGCAGCAAGTATTGCGCATGTATATTAGACTGGATCAGGTCAATTGGGACGAGATGTTACCCAAGGTAGCCAGTGCGTACAATAACAGCGTGCACTTGTTCACTTGTTGCACTCCCAATGAGTTGCACAAGTCCTTTAGACCGCGTAGACCGTCTGAGGGACTTAACCGGGATCAGATTCACAGGCTACCGCCCGGTACTAGGGAGTTTGCGATACAACATGAGAAAGAGTTAGCTACTGTTGTTGAGAACCTCGGTAAGCCCCAACACCGAATGATAGAACAGGCTAATAAGCATCGCGCCCGTCACAGTTCCAAGTAGGCGACTTAGTCTGGGTCAAGTCCAAAGAGTTTGCTCCTCAGGAAAACATCTTGCAGAAGTTACTGCCCGATTGAGGATCGTGGCCAGTTCTAGACGTGAAGGGCGGAGAGGATGGATCGTCCTACACATTAGAGATCCCAGCACACCTCCACACCTACCCTGTATTTCATGCATCAAAATTGTTGTCGTGTGTCACAAGTCAGCAGTTTCCGTCTAGACGGTCCATGATCCCTCCAGACATGGACGAAAGATATGACATTGACGACATTGTAGGTGAAGACGTCTTCATAACAGGAGGTAGAGGTCGTTTGCAGAAGCAGTATAAGGTTCGGTTTGCTTATCAGGAACCGGAGGATGACCGTTGGTTTACCAGAGCAGAACTTCTACAGACAGCTCTCGACATAGTTAAAGATCCTGCCTTGGACTGAGTTATTCTTGGAGGACCTCGAATTTAGGCCGGCGGGAGTGAAATGGTATTTGTTTGCAGTAGTTGATGCAGATCCCAGGGCCCGATCCCTAGTCCCCACCTTACCTGTGTACAGTATCTGTGTCGACCCCGAGAGTTGAACCCGTGACCTATGTATTTGTAACAGTTGGTAGATTGTCATAGGGTCTGTAGGTAGCAGGGGTTCAATCTGTAGACCTGTCGAGTAGAAGTCTTAGGAAGTTCTAGAAGTCGTAGTTGTAGAACTTATGAAAGGTCAAGGTCGTAGCTGCTACAATCCCGAAGGGTCAAGGTCGTAGCTGCTACAGTCTTCGAAAGGGCAGGACCCAGACTTCTAGAAGGTTCGAGTAGTGGCGTTTCGAAGTTGCTCACGTTTG